TCTTTCTGTCTCTCTCAAAATAAATAAAATAAAATAATAAAAAAGGAAAGTTTGTCCCAAGAAATGTTTTTAAAAATTTTTTTAACATTTATTTATTTTTGAGAGACAGAGGGCACAAGTGGGGGAGGGGCAGAGAGAGAAGGAGACACAGAATCCCAAGCAGGCTCCAGGCTCTGAACTGTTAGCACAGAACCCCACGAACTGTGAGATCATGTCGTGAGCTGAAGTCAGATGCTTAACTGACTGAGCTACCCAGGTGCCCCTGTCCTAAAAAATGTTTGTAATCACTGCACTACTTTTAATGGATATCAAGTACTCCAGCCTTGTTTGGTTGACTCTTTTAAGTGGGGGGCTCAAATTCTAAAATAAATAGGCCCATTCCAGTCACATTCGACTTTGACTTGTGCCTACTGTAACAATGTGTTATCCCGTAGTCATGGTGCTTTATCTGATTCACATCTGCAGGTGCTATATCACTTTAGCCCAGGCTTTGGGAATGAACATGGGAGGAGCTCCGGCAGGACCCGCGGGCACTGGCAAAACAGAAACCACGAAAGACATGGGAAGGTGTTTGGGAAAATATGTGGTTGTGTTTAACTGCTCAGATCAAATGGATTTCAGAGGGCTCGGAAGGATTTTTAAAGGTAAGTGTCAAACACAGTTAAATTACTTTTGGTGAATGTATTTTTATTGCACTTTAACATTATTTTCTGATAAAACCTAAAGTGATATTATCCCATGTAGCCGAAATTAGTATAGGTTGATGCATGTAATACTGCCATTCTTTTTTCTGGGTCAAGAATGGCTGGATATCGTCAGTTTCATACGGTTCAATACTGTTGCTGGCACTCTAGTTCATGAGTTGAATGTGTATTAGATTGTGAAAATGAAATCAATTTGTTATTGCCTGAAACAATGGTGGAGGGGATAAGATCAAGATAGCAAACCCATGACACATGCGGTTCCCCCTTCCTGCATTAGATCCTGCTGAAATGAAAGATTTCATTTAGAGCATAACTCAGAGCCGAGATTGATAAATAGACCAGTGGAATATAATAGAGAATGCAGAAATGGGCCAAGGACACTTGACGTATGGCAAAGGTGGTATTGTAAATCAGTGATGAAGGGATAGACTTTACAATGAATCATCCTGAGGCAAGAGATGATTAGTATTTAACAAAGGAAATCGGATCCCTACATATATAAAAACTGGATGCCTACACCATATATAAAAATCAGTTCTGGGAATTAAGCACCTGAATGTGGTCAGCAAAACCATATGGTTTTTAGAAGGTAATAAATGAAAATATCTTTGTTCTCAGAGAAAGGGATTTTTAATACAAAAATCACAAGCCATAAAGGAAAGATTGGTACATTGCTTACTCTAAATTAAAAACTTCTGGGGACACCTGGGTGGCTTAGTCCCTTGAGCATCCAACTTTGGCTCAGGGCATGATCTCACGGTTTGTGAGTTCAAGCCCTACATTGGGCTCTGTGCTGACAGAGCAGAGCCTGCTTTGGATCCTCTGTACCCCTCTCTCTCTTCCTCTCCCACACTCATGCTCTCCCAAAAATAAATAAAACATGCTATTTCTAGGTCATAGGGTCGTTCTATTTTTAATTTTTTGAGGAACCTCCAGAAATAAACAAACATAAATAAAACATTAAAAAATAGTGGATTAGATCTATGTGTATTTGCTTAGATAAATCTCAGAAAAATAATACTGACCAAATAAATCAAGTTTCAGGAAGATATATACAGTATTTTATAGACCTATACATGTAGATAGATACATATAAATCTTGAATACACAAAATATATAGTGTCCATGAATATATGCAAGTGAGCAGTAGTTTATTTTTAAAAGGTTTTTTAAAATGTTTATTTATTTTTGAGAGAGAGAGTGTGTGTGAGTGTGGGAGGGGCAGAGAGAGAAGGAGACACAGATTCTGAAGCAGGCTCCAGGCTCTGAGCTGTCAGCACAGAGCCTGACGCTGGGCTCGAACCCACGAACCGTGAGATCATGACCTGAGCCTAAGTCGGACGTTTAACCAATTGAACCACCCAGGCGCCCACGAGCAGTAGTTTAAAGCACACCTGGAACCACTGGCATCAAATTCAAGACAGAGGTTCCCTCTGGAGAAGGAGGGAGTGTGAATCCAAAGAACAATACATGGATGTGAACTGTGGTTCTAATATTTTATTCTTTAGAATGAAATCTGAAGCAAATTGTTAAGATTTGATAGGTAGGTGCTTGGATATACATTATATTATTCTTTATAGTTGCCTGTTAAACATTTTTGAGCCCTGAAAATCATGTCCTGATCAAAGAGAAGGGTCCTTCTGTGGATCACTCCCAGCTTGAAGGTTGGGGATGGTTTAGAGCAGCCAACAGAGCACAAGGTAAATCCTAGAGTGCCACAAAATGATAGGAGATGACAGAGAAAAAAGAAAAGGAAGTGGCTGGCTCCGGCGTTTCCTTTGCATAAATGATGTTGCACAGCTCTCTGAAGCGGGAGTCCTGTCACAGATAAACTTCGAATGGGGGCTCGTGTCAGAGAGGCAAACCGCCCACCCAGGACTGGCTGCGAGCCCCAGACCCCGAGGGGAAGCTCTCATGCCTCTCCAGTTCCTTCCTCCAAATCACCAGCAGAGGTCCTACAAACAGAGATTGGCATCTGAGATAAGGAAACATAGAGATACAAAGATACAGAGATAACATTACAAAGGTAACAAAGTCTCATAAACTATCTGAAGAAATGAGGGAGGCGCCCCAAACAGCCGAGAGACCGCTAAAGTGATTAATAGAGGAAACAGAAGAAAAGAGCAAATAAAATCATTAGCTTCAGAGGGATTCAATTAATTTATAACATACAACTGATGGAAGAAAGACAGGCTGCTATGAACAAAGTAACAGTTGGAATAACATGAAATTGAAAACGTGAATAAATTAAAAACCTCTTTTGAGTTAAACTGTCTAGCCAAGAGAATAAATACATTGAATACAAGAGAAAGAAATGGGAGGTTTGACAGAAAAGCCTAAGGGTAATAGGGATACATATAAAAGTTCCAACATCTGTATAATGGAAACGCCCAAAGGAGAGAGAAGAAAAACTGGGGCGGGAGGACAGTAATAAAAGAAACAAGAACATTTTATGCAGCTGAAGATAATGAAGGTTTTCATCCTTAAGAGATTAGATAGGAGTAATGTTCATAACACGGAAGTCTTTCTTTGTATTGAGTTTTGAAGGGAATAAATAAAAGTCCCTTTGACCGTTTTCTATCTCACCCTGCATCCCCTTGTATCTGTCATTGCAACAAGAAAGAAACAGAATAATCTGATGCAGACAGGGCATGCCTTATTTTGTCTGTTTCCCCAAACGTGGCTCCTTCAGCCTCCTTCCCCACTGAATCCGGTTTTATCATCTTCCAGCATTCCTGGGTGTGATGACGTGTCTATTCTTTCATTTTGGCAGTGCCCTGTTTTCACGATGATGTACAAATAATTAAACCCCTTTATATCACTGGAATTAAATGTGTCTTTATAAACAGCCAGATATGAAACTTTATATAAATTGTATTTCTATATAGAATTGTTTGAGAGCACTTTAAAGAAATGATTGCTACCAAGAAGGTGTATTACAAAAGAAACCTTTTGAAATTAATCCTTTTTCATATCAGGTCTTGCACAATCAGGTTCTTGGGGCTGTTTTGATGAGTTTAACAGAATAGAATTGCCTGTATTATCAGTGGCAGCCCAACAGATTTATATTGTTCTGACAGCAAGAAAAGAGAGAAAAAAACAGTTCATTTTCTCTGATGGTGATTGTGTTGATTTGAATCCAGAATTTGGAATTTTCCTAACAATGGTAAGAATGTGGTCTTTAAATGCAATTCTATTGGTTTAATTGCTTATAGACTTAAATGAAATAAAGCATATATTAATTAGTAAATCAATGACTATTCAGAGGTCATGAGCTATTCCCTCTTGTCATATGATTTTTTGAGTAGTAAAAATAACCTTGAGAGAAGATGAAATAGCAAAATGTTAATGATAATACTAGCTACTGTTTAGTGAGCACTTATTATGTGTAAGGTGCTGGGCTAAATGTTTTCTGTATTATATCAGACAGGCTAGCCACAGTAACAATCCCCAAATCTCAGTGGCTCAAAACCTCAAAGATTTATTTCTCTCTCATGTCGCATGTCTATTGTAGGTTGATGAACACACCTAACTTCAAAAGAACAGGCAAATGTAGTCCTATACCTCATTTGTATGGTGGATGTTGTAACTGAGTTATCTCAGGCTCAGAGAGATTTAAAAACCTGTTCAAGTCACGTAGCCAGTTAGAGAAAGAGGTTATTGTCTGTCTAATGTCAAAATCTAACTACTTAACCTTTGTACTTGGGTTTTTCTCTGACACATAATAAAGGATGATGGAAATGATTTAAAATAGCCAAAGTAATTCACCAAAAACCTGTAACAATTGTAACAAATTCAGTTACCGTGTGATTGAGGGCAATGTGTTGTGATACATTTAGTAAAGAAAGAAAACCAAAAGCATGAATAAGTAGAAAAGTCTGTGAATTGTAAAAGTGATGTTAATGTTGAACCAGTTTTATTTAATGTTTTTGTATGTTTTCTATATAGTTAAATCTTTATGTTGCAAGATAACACAACGTAATCTGAATTTTAAATGTCTCAGTGGACAAAGATTATAGAAAGTAAAATTAGGAAATTTTCTGATAAGCTTTATTATAAGCAAACATAAGCAAAACACTCAGGGGTAAATAATAATAATCCAGAAGTGATTAGTTACTATAACTCAGGAAATGGGATGAAAAGTTTTATTGTGTGATACTGTGGTGGAGAATAATTTAAAAGAAGAGTAACATTTCCCTTGGATTAAGAATAATATTGGAAATATCAATTAGGTATTACATTAGACTGTAAATAACTGAGACATGAAAAATAGTAGCTTAACACATAAAGATTTATTCTCTTAAGATCCTTCTATGTTTCTACACCATCATGATTTTTATCTTCAAGTCACCTTTATAACCCAAGATGCTACAGAAGCACCTCTGTTTTGCTGTAGCCAATTGATTGAATCAACTCCCTTCAAACAAGCATCGTATTATGTGCCCCTTTGCATCTTCCAGTGTCAAATTTAATCACACCAACTGCAAGGCAGGCTAGGAAATGTAGTGTTTTATCTGGGTGGTGATGCACCCAGTTTGCAACTGGGGTTCTGTGACTGAGAAAAGAGAAAAGAAGAAATATTGAGAGGCAGCTAGTAACTTCTGTATTCCCAGGACTGAGGAAGGTATCTGGCCAATGGACAGTGCCCACGAAATGCTTAGGGACTGAAGGCTTCTTAATGTACTTTCCTTAAATAACTAACCCCTCTTTGCCTGACTAGTCTTTGAATCCCTAACCTCTCCCCTGGAACTGTTGGGTCTGATGCACTCAACCTGTTGCTATTCGTGAGGCCCTACCTTCCTTTCCTCTTCTACTTTCGTCCTTTTCAATATTTTCCCCACCATTCCCATCTTTATTTCCCCTCACTCCAATAGAGTTTTTTTTTTTCTTTTTTTTTTAAATCAGCCAGAGAACTCTCTAATTCTGACCATGGAGAATGATGGAAAAGATAAAATAAGAATTACCTAAGTAAACTGATCCAAATGAAATCCTGAATTTTCTTCCTTTTTCAATAACCTATGTTAGACCATAATTATCCTGGTGTTTATGTATCTTTCTTTTCTATTTTCTTAACCAATAGATACACAGAAGCTTAATTTTTGCTACATGAAGTGTGTGTGTGTGTGTGTGTGTGTGTGTGCGTGTATGACTTTGTTAGTATAATGGAAATGGAAATTATGCATGAGGGGGTAATGTGACCTTAACAAATATGGATAGTCCAATACATATTTTTGAGACAGGAGGGACGTTTTATGAATCTAATGTTTTTCAATACCACCTTAGAATATGAACTAGGAATTTGAATGTGTTTGTATTCATGAAATGAACATTACATCAATAATTTAAAATAATTTTAACTTTTAGAACCCTGGGTATGCTGGGCGCCAGGAACTACCAGAAAACTTAAAAATTCAGTTTAGAACTGTTGCTATGATGGTTCCAGATAGACAGGTAGGCACCGGGATTTGGAAGCATAATATGATTTATGTTCTTGTTTTTCTCTAAATTGTTGAAAAATCTCATGACCTTAATTTTCAGATCATTATGCGAGTTAAACTTGCAAGCTGTGGTTTTCTTGAAAACGTCGTCTTGGCTCAAAAGTTTTATGTTCTTTACAAACTCTGCGAAGAGCAACTTACCAAACAGGTAACTTTGTAAATCAATCTTTTCCCTACCTGTAGAACGTGATTTTTTTTAGTTGGCAGTTTTACCCTGATAGATGTTAATCAGTGAGTTAAAAAAAAAATCTCAACTCTTTTCTAAGATATATTTATAATTATGTATGTATGTGTTTTTAAATTTTTTTAGTTTGAAATGATTATGGAGTCTCAGTGAAGTTGCAAAGAAAGGTAGAGGAGGTCTTGTGAACCCTGCTTCCGCATGGTTGACATTTTGTAACAACAGTACAATTATAAATGACAAAACCGGAAAACAGATGTGGGTACAATCCACAGAGTTTAAGAGTTTGCCAGTTATGTATGCACATATGTAGTGTAGTGTAGTGTGTGTGTGTGTGTGTGTGTAGTACTATGCAGTTATGTCACGTGCAGATTCATGTAACCTCCACCTCGATCAGCAAACAGGACTGTTCTGTCTCTGCTACCCCTTCACAGCCACACCCACCACCCTTCCGAATCCCTAACCGCTCGCAGCCCCTATTTTCCCTCCATCTCTATAACTTTGTTATTCCAAGAATGTTATAGACATGGAATCACAGAGTGTGTAACCAACAGGGCAAATTTAAATCTGTTTACTGTGAGGCATCTGGGTGGCTCAGCCAGTTAAGTGTCTGGCTTCTGCTCAGGTCAGGATCTCATGGTTTGAGAGTTTGAGCCCTGTGTCAGTCTCTGCACTGACAGTGCGGAGCCTGCTTGGGATTCTCTCTCTCTCTCTCTCTCTCTCTCTCTCTCTCTCTCTCTGCTCCTACCCAACTTGTGTGCACGCCCTCTGTCTCTCAAAAATAAATACATAAACTTAAAACTAATCTGCAGTCAAAGGAAAGGTGAAAGACTTGAGCTCATAGAACTTTGAAGCTGAGCCCCTGCACACAGCAGCGTTTACAGATCAGCATATCCGCCTATGTGTATACAGTGGGTCTGCATTTAGGATTGGTCAATTAAACAATCTTTTCTCCCCCCATCTTAGGTTCATTACGACTTTGGGTTGAGAAATATCCTATCTGTCTTGAGGACACTCGGATCTCAAAAAAGAGCCAGACCAGAAGACAGTGAACTAAGCACTGTCATGAGAGGACTGAGAGATATGAACCTTTCCAAACTGGTATCCTTCCCTTCCCTGAACTCACTTCTCCTTCAGTATCCTTCCCTTCCCTGAACTTGCTTCTCCTTCAAGATTCTCACCTGTTCTTTCCCCCACTTAGCCGAAATGCGGGGGTTTGGCTCAGCTGGAGCTGAGCATTAGTAACGACAGGGACAGTGGGTATGTGAAGCTAGCCCTGTGCTTCCAGAAGACAAAAAGTCTGTGACCTTGTATACCCAACATGGCCCCTTACCACTTGTGAACCATAAAACCATTGGTGGGTTCTGGCCCCCAAATTTCAGTCCAGACTTCTTTTTTGTTTTTTTATAATTGTGTCTTTAAAAAAATATTTTTTATTTATTTTTGAGAGAGAGAGAGAGAATATGAGCAGGAGAGAGGTGGGGGAGGGGCGCGGTGGGGATAGAGGATGTGAAGCCGGCTCTGTGCTGACAGCAGAGAGCCTGGTGCGGGGCTCAAACTCACGACCTGTGAGATCATGGCCTGAGCTGAAGTTGGACACTCAACCAACTGAGCCACCCAGGAGCCCCTTAGTCCAGTCTTCTACTATTATTTAGAATGTAACACAAATTCTAAACATGAAAGTCCAGGTTTCTTGGATTCACAGAGAACTATGAGAACTTTTGCTTTCTCAGAACACGTCTGAACTTACTTCAGCTATGTCTCTCCCCCGCCATCGACACCATTTCTGTTTTCCAAAAGTGCACTGAAAGTTTGCCATGAAGATGATAATAATTATCTTGCTGCTTTCACGCTTGTCACAATTATAGCCAGGTTCTTTGAAGTAGCTGACGGACAGGCGTGCGTGGGATTTATTCAAGGGCTTTTATGTGTTACATATTGTGTCAATGCCCTGGGAATACAATGTTGAGGAAGAAGTGGTTCTTAGGAAGCTCAGTTCTAGTTATAGAAACTAACAACTAACACCTGTGTAGTTCTTTAGTATTACAAAGCTTTTTCAGGGGTATTGTGTTGTTTGAGTCTCACAGCAACACTGTGGGATACGAATGGCTCGTGTTCTTATTGCCATCTTACTTATGAGGGAACCAAGTTCGAAGGACTCAGCCACAATTATGGTCAGTTGAGAAGCTGGAACAAAAATCCACAAAACTTTCTGATGTCAAATCCTCTGTCCCTTCTAGTACACCTTAGCGCCTCCCTTGGTAATAGTGTATTCTTGAAACAGCTACAAGAGAATTCCAGAAGGTGTCGGAAGAGTCCCAGAGGATAAGGAGAAATCAGAAGGGGGCAGCAGCTGGGAATGGGGTGATGGAGACGTTAAAGACGTAGCAAATGAGGATTAGGGTCAGTTGACTGAAACCTACGGCTTATTAAGGATGGCAGAACACTGCTCTGATGGAGTGTTCCAGCCAATGTTGGATGAGCCGGGCAGTTTAAATGAAATTTTAATTTTATAATTAAATATAATTTTAATAGTTCTATTTTCATGGGGTTGGGACTACTAATTGCATATTTTTAAGGTTAATGCATACACCTGTTTGTGACATGCAGCACATTCATGATAAAGTAGTGAGATCAAACCTTGAAGCCGCAGATTGTAGAGGATGTTGAATGCCAAAGAGCTTTGGGTACGATGCTATAGGTAACGTGGATTCAGTGGTGGTGTTCGGGACTTGGGTCTACAGGACCCAAGTCTGGTTAGGAGAGTAATACATGATTTTCTGGGCATGCAGTGATAGTAAGGTGCCATGAGCTTTGTAACTGGTCAGTAATTATTTATTGACTGAAGAAGTAAATTTATTCTCTGCCGTCTTAGGTTGATGAAGACGAACCCCTGTTCCTCAGCTTAATCAATGACCTGTTTCCAGGACTGCAGCTGGATAGTAGTACGTATGCGGAGCTGCAAGCTGCAGTGGCCAACCAGGTTCAGATAGAAGGTTTGATTAACCACCCGCCCTGGAATCTCAAACTTGTGCAGGTAAACAAATTTTAATCTGTTATGCTAAGTGTGCGTTGTTAAAGATCGCCATTTGAAGAGAAGAGCTCAGGATATTAGTCTTAATGTAAATGCTGAAACTAAATTAATTTTTTAATGGTTATTTTTGAGAGAGAGAGAGAGAGAGACAGAGTTTGAGTGGGGGAGGGAGGGAGAGAGAGAGAGAGAGAGAGACAGACAGACAGACAGACAGAACCCAAAGCAGGCTCGAGGCTCTGAGCTGTCAGCACAGAGCCTAACGCAGGGCTCAGACTCACAAACTGTGAGATCATGACCTGAGCCGAAGTTGGACGCTTAAACCACTGAGCCACCCAGGCGCCCCTGAAACTAAATTAAAACACATCATTGCAAGAAGAGTCCTCAGGAGGATGTGTTGGCCCCAGAGAGATAGTATGGCATTACCCTGCCTGGCAAGAAACAAGCTGTAATTTACTACCTAGAGCTGGTATTAGGGCAGGTGGTAACTAGAATCTCAAGAACAGTTAGGAGAGGGTGACAGGTTATATAAAAAGCCGGGGAGATGGAATGATCTCACAACCTTCTTGTGTCAGTCTGGCAATATCACTCATAGCTGGGTACCTTCATGGGCATGGAGCCCGAGGAATCTGGGAGTGTTACTTTGCTTCTGTTTTGTGTGTGGTCAAGTTCACGCCTACCCTAACATCTAAATCCTTTGCCTGTGTCTCTTGGTATCTTTTTGCTCATTACATTTCATCCTTGTCAACCACCCACCAGTTAATCAGCAGAGGCAAGAAGGATTGGCAGAGATGCAGGAAGAAATCTCTATGGGCCTGATGTTTCAGGGGTATTTTCTAGGGCATTTGGAAATGAAGGAGCTGAAATTATGGAAAACGTTAAAAACTGCATGGGGAAAATAACAATTTTTATTTTAACTTGCCGGATAATAAGAAGTGCAAGTATATGAGACACATTCAAATTTTACAGGGAAATATATGAGGAAAAGTTTAAGTATTTTTCATCATCCATGTATTGAAAACCATTAAACACTTCTTTTAATTTCTGGGAAACTTTCCCAAATCTGTATGATATACATACTGAGTATACTGAGTACTAAAATCGTAGTCATTTCAATGGGTAGGGAACTAGAATATTGTCTTGTTACTCAGTGTCAACAGTGTTACTCTTGAATATAATGTTATGGGTAGTGTCTCTATTGCTTTTAAACTATGGGTTACTGTAGTAATACATTTCTACCTAAAATGTTAGAAAAATTTAAATTCTGCCTCCTACAAGGTGTAAGTTTTTTTTTTTTTTTTTTTTTTTTTTTTT